CAATTATTACTTTAGATTCTTCTTCTTCTTCTTTTTCTGTTTTTTCATCATCATAATCAGTTATTGTTTCATTTACAATTGCAATATTTTCTGATTCTTCTATATCTATTATATCTTGAATCCAAAGAAATAGCGTTCAATAAGTACTTTTGTTATACACAAGGGTGTTATATAAGTTTAATAAAGTATATAAAGAAAAAAAGACAGAATTACAAAATGGGTTAATGATTGTAAAATTACACAATTATGATTAATAATTTATTAGCATTCTTATATATTTACTATAAAATTCATTTTAAAATTTTCAACAATTTCATAATGTATATCAACTTAAACATAATAAATATTAACTTCATACAGCTGAAGAAATGCATTTAAAATTTCGTAAAATTATGTAATTTTACTCGATGATTTCTTTATACTACAATTTTTTGTCCTTCTCTAAAATTAATATTTCTCGTAACAATATAAAAATATTATTTACTATTTGACCAGGTACACTCCTTATTTTCCTTCCATTGACTTTCTTGTGTATCATATATTTCTTTCTTCCAAATTGGAACTGATGCTTTTAACGAATTGATAGCATATTCAACAGCTTTCAATGATTCTTCCCTATGAGGAGAGGAAATAGCAATTACTACACTTGCTTCGGATACTGGTACCTCTCCTAAGCGATGATATATAGCAATATGATGAACATTCCATTGAGAACGGATTTTTGAACATATATTATTCATTTCTTTCAATGCCATTGGTTCATATGCTTCATATTCCAATTTTAAAACCTGAAAGTTATAAGAAAATAAAGATATGATGCATATCTACGATATATCTTCACATTTGTAATCAAAATTTCAATAGATACATACTTTCTTATTGTCAAAATTATCCCGAGTAGTACCAATAAAATTTGATATAGCTCCACAATTAGCAGCTGTTACTAAACCAATTATGTGTCCAACATTTAGCTCTTCTTGCTGCAGTTTGACAATATCTTTCGCAGTAGCCATTCTAACCTAAAAATACAATATCCATAGATTATTATTATTAGAATATATATATTACGTAGTAGTTGATTAACATATTCATATTTGAAATGAAACAAACCTCCACTAAGTGGTGGAATAACAGCAATTTCGTCTTTTTCCGAAAATATTAATATTCTGTCTAAAGGAACAAATTCTTCATTCACTGCTAAAATTAATACGTCACGAATGCTTTCTAGATTAAATTGATTTATTACTTTAATTAGTAAGTCAGTATATAATAGCTTTTGAGGAACGGTAATGTAACATTCTTTTCTTCCCGTTAATTCTCTTGCTTTGGCGAAAAATAAAATCTTCACTTGTATTTCAGTGACACTGTCATCCATTATAGAGCACATAAACAGAATAATAATGCAAATTCACAGAATGTTTCAACATCTTTGTCATAAACATGTATGATTATCAAGATATCAAATCACTTACGTAATTAAGTAATTATCCAAAGATAATAGCTCTGTTATCTGAGACTTACAATAAGGTTATGTTTTTCTTAAACTACACCACTAGTCGAACTAGTGTTTATGCGTGTTTATAAGAAATATATTAAAAAACTTTAATTGTTGTCAGATCAGTGAAAAATTGATCAAATTAACAAATTAAAATAAATAAACATCTTATTTAATATTTTTAAGTGTTTTAATGTTTTTCATAATAAATTACACAACTGACTGCGCTGTAAGCATACAATCTAAGTCATTTACTTTGAAGCGGTAGAATATAAAATAATTGAATACGTAATTGTGCGTAGTGAAAATGAAAACATATTTCAAGTTCAAATTATTATTTTTGATATAAAATAAAGTGATAGTATTTGCCTGTACACCTGTATGTATATGTATTATAATTTCCAAAAAAAGTTGATAGAATGGAGGTATTCTATAGATCGACTTGAAGTACCTTGTATGATATTAAGGTCAACCAAGAAATGAGGTCAACGTAGCAAGGAATCGTACTGTTCCGCTTGCATAATGTTCGATGCTAATATATTTGTTGAACTGTAATACTCATATATTTGGGAAAAACCTCTTGATCAAGTACTAATTACTCAAGTATATACAAGTTGTACATAACGTTGTAAAAAATGTAATTATCTAAACATAATTAAATGATTTCAGAATATATATATATATATGTATAAATTTAATCTTATAGATGTTGGAAATGAGTTGAAACTTCGTAAGATACGCAAGTTGTAATATTTTATAAGTAATGCATTTACAGCGATATATATGCCGATGTGTCAGTAAGCAATAGCCTTGGACAAGCATTTAAATGTATGCATCGTGCGTGCAGCACAATGTGCGCTCACGCTTAAGTATAGATGGACAGCCTGCTAACCCGAAGTCTAAAAGAGTGCAGAGATCTAGCTCGTTCAGTCGAATTGCTGCGGGACAAGGACAATACATTAAAGGAACTTATTCCTTTAAGTTAAGTAACACTCCTAAGCATCACAATCGGATATCACATAGTACGATAAACCGGTTATAGCAATTTATTTCGAGATGCTACCTCATCCAGGCGCTGGACATATGACGCAACAAGGGGAAAAATTCCGTTAGTGTTACTTAATGTAATAAATTCGCCGTTCTAAATGGCAAATTTTTGATCGATTTCGGATTAAAAAATGATTAATCTAATGATTAATGAAAATGTAAAGGATTATATTGGATATATAGCGTAGTCACTGCAATTTTCACGCAGAAGTTTAGAATGAATGGACTTAACAACGAAATACGTGATGTGAGAAAGAAGTGCAATTCGAGTGAGGTCGTACGATGATTATACACCGAGTAATGCTACTACTAGTCCCATCGCTCGAAAAAATTCATGACAGCGTACGTATCATAATCAGATCGGAGAGACAGCTGTGAGAGCTCTACACCTGTGATGTGTTCGCGCCTTTAATTCAAACAAATGGGAGAAATCAAATAGAAGCGTCACGACACGAGAGACGCATAAAGTTGTTTGTACAGGTGAAATGAAGATACTGAAATGCAGAATCGTTTGCGCACGAGTTCGGACGTGGTACGAATGAACAGGTGAAGATTTAATAGTACTGGAGGAGCCAGCTTGTGACTTGCAGGAGGCGACATTTTCAAACGATGAATCGTACGATTCACAAATTGTCGCTCTTGTCGTCACAACGATGAGCTGCATTCACAACTAAGTAACAGCATTGCGACACACGACTGAGACAGACTTTTACATACGTATATGTATATAATATTGTTTCGTTCACGGATTTTCACGAGTAGTTTATTATTATGCGAAATAAATTTTTATCTACGTAATTACATACATCGTCCGATATCACTGCAACTTCGAACTTTACTCCTCTTGATAGTGAACTGTTATATAGTTGAAAAGGGAAAAAGAAAAATGCGTGCTTTTTAGAAAACGAGTTTCTAGAGTAGTGAATAATACGTTTTTAAACACGATTTTCAGTGCGGTAACAAATACTGTTTCAGTCGCACGTGTGCCTAATCGGTATTAGAAAACAATAACCACGAGTTTCAACGATGACTGCATTGTTTCTGCCCATTTCAAAAAAAAATCCATTGTTGCTGTAATGCACGTTACTTTGATCGTACATATTGATAACACAATAACATTGTCAGTCTCTTTCGTTTTAATATGCGTTTAAACATGATAAAATATCGTGACCTTTTTTTTTTTTTTTTTAATCAAATTACTAACACATTAGAATAATAATACGAGTGATGAAATTTTTTTAATTAATATATTTCTTCGAATTATTTACAAAACCTAAGACGCAAGAAGAATCACATTTTTAAACGGGTGATTCATTACCAACCAATAGGGCATACTATCTGCGTTCTTTCCTCAGATAAGACCCTTAAAAATATCTCTTTCTTCAGATATTTTTATATACATGGATAAAAATATTCGTAAAGAATAAATGCGTACACGTGTACGTGTCGTGTGATATCACTTTAAAAAAAGAAAAATTTCGACCAGCTAAAGATAGAGGATCCAATTGTTTCCATAATTGACTACCGTTTTGAGTAGAAAAATTAGTCTCGAAAGTGTGCAATGGTAAATTTAAAACAATTAATCTAACTTAAATGATGAATGTTGATGAATGTTGATACGAACCACCATGCGATTCCATAATAGTACATCACTATTTATACTCGTTGATAAAAATTGATTTAAACATCGTGCGTGATGATAAGCGGCAACGTTCGTAGTTTTGAAATCATCGCTAGGAAATCAAATGCATCTTATTCACTTGCACATGAACTATGATGTCATACTGCAGTGCGCACCAACAAGATTAACGTCCTTGGACAGGAGAGAAAAAAAAAAAAAATATTTTTATGACATAGACAGTCTTTCCTCTTAATAGGAACAATATCTGAATAAGAACGGCAAGGCAAGAAGCATGAAATTCAAATTAATACTTTTACGATCGACTCGCTTCAAGATACTTAAGTAGACACAATAAATGCAACATGCCACGGTAAGTCCGAGTCGTAACTGCATGACAGTTAGTAGCAGTGGAATCAATCGATGGCAATTCGTTCGGCTAACTCTGATTCACGATAGATCAGTCGCACACGATGCGTATCAGAAATACCATCGAATCGTTCATTATGAAACGTTAAATCGGTCAGACGAGGTTGTCAAAGGTAGAAGAGAAATACAATAAATTATGTAATATAATATGCTAAATCGTCACTGTCAGCGAAAAAAAAAGCGAAGCTAAATTAAGAAGAGTTAGACTTTGAAATTGACTGGAGGAGTAGTGACTGAGAGACACGAGAACGTACGAGCGCGTGTTTGCCGTAATGGTGGTACGTATTTGATCGCAATATGGAAAGTGTTTTACGCGCGAATGCGTGCAAGGGCCCAAAACAAGACGCCCCTGGTGTAGGTTGAATAAGTACGTTCCTGCAGAACGGAGCCCGCGAGGGCTGGTGAGAAAGAGAGAGAGAGAGAGAGAGAGAGGCATAGTGGTGATCAAAGGTGGTGTAAGAGCGAGGGAGAGAGCGAGGGCGAGAGAGGAACGCGAGGGCCGAGGTATACCATCGAGTATCAACCAGCTGGTTGGCAAGGCAGCCGCGAGCAGTCGCCAGTGAGACGCGGTACCCCGCGAGGGCTTTCGTCGTTTGTTCGTTCGTCTATACGTGTGTCTATATGTCCGTCATCTCCCTTCCGCTTAAACCTATCGTGGTCGTGCGTACGTTCATTCGTTCGTCCGGTCCGTGTGTGGTGCGTCTCCCTTCGCCTGCTTTCAACGACACTTGCCACCGGTCGCGACTATCGTCTCTGTGTCAAAGTACATCTCTCTCTCGCTCCATCTCTCTCTCCTCGTTTCTCTTGGCGTGCCCAACTGAAAAGACAAGATGGCTGCCGATTCAGGAATGGAGACGTGTCCCTCCCCGGAGATTGCAGACTCCAGGAAACGGCCGCTCGATTGTGACGCGGAAAATGGCGCGACGAAGAGGTCTCATTACGGATCAGGTATTTTAATTGCACGTTGTCAATCGTTTTTATCGATCGTCGCGAGCTAAGCTTCCCTACGCACCTTCGCCGATCTTCCTATACATATACCAACGATACAGTACATTCACAATGATTCTCTCTCTCTCTCTCTCTCTCTCCCTCTTCCTCCTTCTTTTCTCTACTTTTTCTCTTTCTGTTGCTTGCGATTATTCCTCTTGCTCTCTCGCACGGCTTTGACAATCTCAGTCGCTGGTGCTGCTGTTGACACAGCGATCGCTCGCTATAGCCGTTCCCTTTCGTTTCCCACTTCGATGCCTGGCTGGCGAACGTGTACACGGAGGCGAGAACGCGAACACGGTGCACCGCACAGCGGTTCGCGCATCCTCTCGTGCCACGTCTCCTTCTCCTTTTCTGTTTTACTCATCTCCTTTATTCCCCCTGTTACTCCGCTAATTTCCTTCTCGTCTCGTACCGTAAACGACAATTCGTACGCGACACACCTGTAACGGTGTGTTTCTACGCGTTGACGGTCATTTTATTATCGTCAACGTCAGCATTGTCACCGTCGTTTTCGTCTTCGTTGTCACCTCCCCCTCCATTCTCTCTCTCTCTCTCTCTTTCTCTTTCTCTATCATCGTCAACATCGTCCTTATTTCCCTGTTCGTTTTTCCTCATTGTCTTCGTCTT